ATCTATCTATCTATCTATCTATCTATCTATCTATCTATCTATCTATCTATCTATCTATCTATCTATCTATCTATCTATCTATCTATCCATTCATCCAACCATCTATCCATCCATCCATCCTTCTATCCATCCATCCATCTATCTATCTATCCATTCATCCATCCATCCATCCATCCATCCAACCATCCATCCATCCGTCCATCCACCTGTCCATCCATCCATCCATCCATCCATCCATCCAACCATCCACCTTATGACCTCTCCAACTCCTGTGTGATGTAACATTAAATTGGTTATATTTTAGGGAAGTTGGTTCTGGTGAAAGTCTCTAGCCTCAGGCCAGTACTGCATATGCAGCACGAGAACAGTAGTTTTCAAATACTGCTGATTTAATAAGGCACTTATTAACTTTTTTTATAACTTTACTCAAGCTGCAAAACAGCATTTCAAAACTGTCTCTGAAGAAATAAATGTTAGTTTTTTTTAGCAGGAAGCTACTGTGTCACGATTTTATAACCAAAACCCATCGTAACCACAAATTAAAGCCGTTAATCTCTGCAGAGGAGCAGCTCAGGTTACCCGTTACTCATTTAAATTCCGGAAACATAAAAGCTGCTCCTTTTTATTTTCCTACATTAAAAACCTCAAACTGGATCACGTTCACTTTTCCTTAGTTAAAGATTTCAACTTGATATTCTCGTACTTTTTTTGTGATAAACTGCTGCGGCCAAACCACACCATGATTCATCTGCTGGACAGTTTAATCAAAGCCGTTCAGTCGTTCAGTGATGTAAGTCTTACATCAGCCCGTGAGGTGGTCTGAACCTGACCCCTGCTCTGACCATCACAGCAAATCACCTTAATATATTAAGAGCTGTGTCTCTTTAAATGAAATAAATGGAGCGTGAGGGTAGAAATAATATTAAAAAAAAAAAGGTTACTTCCTAAAGGCACAGTTCGTGTAGTTTGTGGTCTGGTGATAACTGGATCTCTGGGTTTAAACCGATTACCAGGCCTATATCGGTATCGGTTGATATTGGAATCGGAAATGAAGTGTTTGGACAATATTGGCGTATCGGATATCGGTAAAAAAGTTAATATCGGACATCACTTGTTACAATACTTTTTTTTTTTTTTAATGCAAGTCATTTGCAATTTGAGTCTCAGACTCCCAGCCCGCAGACCACTTTCGGTGCACACAACAACCCACATGCAACCCGCAATTAGATGCCAGTATATCGCAGGGATATCAAATAGATTTTGAATCAGGGGGCCACAATCAGCCTGATTAGATCTCAAGTGGGCCGGACCGGTACAATCATAACATAATTACCTATTAATAACAACAAGTCAATGTTTTACCCCTTTGTTTTCCTGCAAAGAAGTATGAGTATGAGGACTTCAGAAAAAAAGTAAAGCATCAGGTGGCTGCATTTCAACAACATCTGAGACTGCAACAAGAGCAAATAATCACAGTCAATCTGTTGTTTTTTTTTTTAATGCTAACCTGCACTGAAGACTTAGGGTCAAAATGTGGACTTTAGCCGTTTGTTTTGGTTGACATCCCTGGTGATTTGTGATCTTTTTTTTTAAATTTTATTTTAGCTATTGACGTTTTTTTTTTTTTTTCATCTAAAAATACCTCCTTAAAAATACCTACTTAAAAGTCTGAAAAATGAATTTGGGATTTAAACCCAAACAAACCTCCCCTTCACTCTGCACCTGTCCATCATCTCCGTGGCAGAGATAATTCAGACACATCAGTGATGTAATAGGTGTTAACGATGAGGAGGAACAGAAGGAGAACACAAGTAGCCAAAAACCGTTGGCACAAATTTAGGGAGGAGGGGAAGGAACACGTAACAGGATGTGGAGGTGGTAAGGTTCAGAGAAAGTCCAAGTCAGGCGTCTCCTCACCCTCCTCCCCTCTACATTTTCACACCCCACCCAGCCTTTCATTTCTGAGCCTCCTCCACGCTCACGATTATTTTTTACTTCCACATCTCCACCTCATTTTTTCCACTCGTTCTCTTGTGTTTCCCCACCCATAGATTATATATTATCCATTCCTTCCTTTCCGGCATTTCCTCTTCACCCTGTCACATTGAAGCTCTCTATATATTTTTTCCTTTCAGTCAATTTCTCCTCCCTCGCCTCATTTTCTTTTCCACCCCGCTCTCCTCAGCTCTTGATATTTCTTTGTCTGTGACTTTGTCATTTTCCCGAGGCATTTCTCTGTCAAAATCCTCTTGTCAAATTGAAGCTGTACTCACAGACCGTGGTTTCGGACTTGTAAGAAGTCACCGCCCTGTGCTGAGCTGTGCCGCTGAACTCTATTTAAAGGATGGTTCAGTTTGTAGAAGCAGAAGGAAACACAGTTCTGTCATTTTCAGAGATCACATCTCTACCTACTTATCTCCACCAGCTTGCGTTTATATTTAAATCAGCGCTGCTTTTAACTGTTAGAGCGCATGTGACAAACTCGAGGCCCGTGGACCAAATGCGGCCCGCCAAGTCATTTAGTGTGGCCCGTGGGAGTCCATGCTGCTGAGTTTATTTTAACTTGATAAATACATTTTTATTACACACAAATGAATAATAATTTTCACAAACATGTATTAACACTAGCCTATATCGGGATGTCCAGTGCGAATCATTATTGGTTTTCCCTCCGTTAATGAAAACCAGATAACGCAATGCCTGGGTTTCGCCAAATAATGTGCAACCTCAAAATAGTTTTTGGGGACAAACGGCTGTATATGAAAGTAAAAGTCACTAGATGGCAGCATTGCGGCTCATTTAATTATTCTATTTTAACAATTGTGGCAGAATGCTAGTACAACTCTTACAGTGGTTTGTACGAATTAAATAAATATAAATGTAAAAGTATTACCAGGTGCTCAGTAGTATCCTGTAGGGGGGGCATGGTAGAAAATAACTGAGAAACATTGTTTAATCCATCACCTTAGTAAGCAGGCGGCACTTAACTTCCTTAACCAGCAGGCCACCACTGCCCCACTATATCGGAATCGGAAATTAAGTGTTTGGACAATATCGGCATATCGCAAAAAATGTCATATCCGACTTTATTCACCAATTTGTTTTGTTGTTTGGTAAATTTGCAGATTATTTTAAGTCAGTGAACTAATTGTTTAATATTGATCCCAATAATTAGTAAGTGAAGATTTGAGTATTGAAATTGGCTGAAAGGTTTGAGTATGTCATGGTGTGACATGAGGTGTTTGGGTATTTTTTTAATTTAAAAATTCGATTGTTAGGATGTTTGAAATATTTCGTTTAACTTTACTAGAGTAACAAACTGACCAAAAGAACCGAAGCAGTACTGCACATCATCAACTCCTTATATCCACAGAGATAAAATTGTGATTTTCCGCAATGGATTTTGGTACGGGAGAATGACCTCTGATTGGTTCGCGGGATCGCTCTGACTTTATGTGAATCAGCCCATTTAGACCGACCGAGTAGTGGTCTAACGCAGCAGTCGTTCCTCTGGTGTTCTAAAAGTATTCTGGCCAACACTTTCTCCTTTCTCTCTGTCCCTCAGGTAAAGGAGATCTAATTGGCTCCGACTCGCTAACGAAGGAGCAGGTGATCAAGACCAACGCTAACGTCAAGGCCCTGACCTATTGCGACCTGCAGTACATTAGTCTGAAGGGTCTCCGAGAGGTTCTGAGGCTCTACCCGGAGTACGCTCAGAAGTTCATCAGCGAGATACAACACGACCTGACCTACAACCTGAGAGAAGGACACAGAGCTGACGTGAGTTTGAAATACGTTTTCCTGAAGGTCTGGTATCTAGGACGGCCCCGGGGATCAGGAGGTAGGAGGCACAGATTAGAAAGCCCAGCGGGCGGTATCTGGCCCCCGGGCCGTAGTGTGCCCATGTCTGGGCTGGAAGGAATTGGTGTTGCCAATTGAAAATCTGATTGGTTAGAGGCTGAAATATGATTGGATAAAAACTATACACGACTAGAAGCAGTTATCGTTACCAATCATAGTCAATAATGATCACGATTAATCATGACAGCTACCTTGTGATTAATCGGATTAAAAATGGTTTTGTACTTTTGTCAGTACTTCTCAAATAATGGGGCGGGCCCCCTAGGGGTGGTGCTGGGAAGTGCGGGAAATGGGGGCATAAGAGGCTTCCAATGGAATATGGCACCCTAGACAGAAGTGTACCACTGCTGTAAACCCTCCAGTCACTAGGTGGCAGCAACGCATACATTGGTTCGTAAAGATAAGGAAATACATATTATCATGTTCTCAATGTTCGCCCCGTCCCCCCAGGTGGGGCAATAAATTTTCTGTCATGAAAATGATTGAGAACCACGGGCAATGCGTGACAGCCCTGCACAAAACATTTGACATTGAGTGTCTGCCGTCTTACGTCTAGAAGACCGTTCTGCTTGGAACAGATGTGCTATGCTGCTTTGCAAAACAGTTAGCCCTCCCTTCACGAAACAGCACGGAGAAAAACGAGCGGTTCTACAGCACAACATATTTTCCACGTTTCTAAATAGACTCGTAAATGGGAGTTTTAAAACACCACTGCTGTTAGTTTGTCATTGAAAACTAAGAGACAATGAGGAAATCGCGAGAAATGTCACTGTCTACCAGAGGGAAAAGAACGTCTTTGTTGATTTTAGTTCTGGCCTGGCTCTCCTGCACAAAAGTCCGTATAGAAACCAAGCCATTTTTGCCTCTCCTGCACAAAAGTCCGTATAGAAATCAAGCCATTTTTTTCTTTGTAATAGTTTGATCCATTAATGCCTCCATTATGTTAAAGTGATATTTCATTACTTTTTCTGTATATTTTTTCCACTCACAAAATTGACAATATCCGACCACAGCTGGCACTAGCTCCTGTTTGTCCTTGAACTAAAAAAAATTCAAAAAAATCTTTCTTAATGGACGTCGGTCCTGTTACGAAACCCATTTCCATCTATAAAGGGGGAAATATGCAAAAGATGCCATAGGTTTATGCAATAATTGCTGGATGTACAGTACGTTTTTCCTAGAACCATATCAGTTGTTTCCCGTGAAAAGAGCACACATCGTACTAAGGTGTCGGTACATCATACGACCGCTCTT